AAAACAATGTGCAAGGATTTCCAATCTCAAAGACGGGGATGTGAACACCAAAATTTTCCACTGCCGGGTGAACGCTAGAAGACGCAAGAACCACATTCACCGTATCAAGCACAATGGTGGATGGGTCACTGAGCACTCTCAAAAGGAGGCTATTGTCCACGACTATTTCTCCTCGACCATGGGAAAAGGCTCCACAGCAACCACAGACTTCAACTGGGAGGGGTTGGACATTGAGGCTCATGATGATTTGGGCGACCTCGCAGACCCTTTCTCCGAGGAGGAGGTGCGTGAGGCCATCAACCAAATGCCTGGTGACAAGGCACCCGGCCCGGATGGCTTCACTGGGCTTTTCTTCAAGAACTATTGGGCCATCATCAAGCATGATACTATGAGGGCCATCTCTTGCTTCGGAAACCTCCGCACGGCCAATCTTCATTGGGTCAACTCCGCCAACATTATCCTTCTCCCAAAGAAGGATGGGGCTGAAGAAATCTCCGACTAGCGTCGGATTAGCCTGATTCATGCTATCCCCAAGATCATTGCAAAGGTCCTCGCCATCCGTCTTAGCCACCACATGCTCCACCTTGTCTCCAATGCACAGAGTGATTTCATCAAGACAAGAAGCATCCAAGACAATTTCATGTATGTGAGGAACCTTGCGCGGAGGCTCCACAAGTGCAAAACACCTTCGCTTCTCTTCAAGTTGGACATTCGGAAGGCGTTTGATTCAGTCAAGTGGGAGTATATCATCGACCTCCTTCGTCTCAGGGGGTTCCCGAGCATTTTTTGAGATTGGAACACAGCCCTACTTTGCTCCTCTTCCTCGTGGATTCTTCTTAACTGTGTCGCTGGCAGCCCCATCTTCCATGGCCAGGGTTTCCGGCAGGGGGGCCCTCTACCCCCCTTGTTATTTGTGATTGCGATCGACCCACTCCAAAGAATTCTCGAGACGACGGCTACTCGAGGGCTATTTCATAAAATCCGCGGCCGTGGGGTTCTTTTACGAACCTCGCTTTATGCGAACGATGCGGCGGTCTTCATGGCACCTATCAAGCGTGATATTGACCACCTCTCCAACATCCTTCATCTTTTTGGCGATGTCATTGGTCTAGCCACCAACTTTCTCAAGAGCTCGGTCGTCCCGATTCGGTGTGGGCACATCAACCTACCGGGCATCCTTCAAAACATTCCGGCGGCGCGCGGATCCTTCCCCATGAAATACTTAGGCCTTCTGCTCTCTGTGTGGCGGCTCAGGAAGGTGGACTTTCAATTCCTGGAGGATAAGGCGGCGGCAAAGCTAGTCCCTTGGGATGGGCAAAACATCACGGCTATGGGATGTGAACTAGATTACCTAATCTAGTAAACCTTTGGGTGTTGGTCACATGGCGATGTGAACTATGGGTGTTAATCACATGATGGTGTGAACTATCGATGTTAATCACATGATGATGTGATCTAGATTATTGACTCTAGTGCAAGTGGGAGACTGAAGGAAATATGCCCTAGAGGCAATAATAAAGTTATTATTTATTTCCTTATATCATGATAAATGTTTATTATTCATGCTAGAATTGTATTAACCGGAAACATAATACATGTGTGAATACATAGACAAACAGAGTGTCACTAGTATACCTCTACTTGACTAGCTCGTTAATCAAAGATGGTTATGTTTCCTAACCATGGACAAAGAGTTGTTATTTGATTAACGGGATCACATCATTAGTTGAATGATCTGATTGACATGACCCATTCCATTAGCTTAGCACCCGATCGTTTAGTATGTTGCTATTGCTTTCTTCATGACTTATACATGTTCCTATGACTATGAGATTATGCAACTCCCGTTTGCCGGAGGAACACTTTGTGTGCTACCAAACGTCACAACGTAACTGGGTGATTATAAAGGAGCTCTACAGGTGTCTCCAAAGGTACATGTTGGGTTGGCGTATTTCGAGATTAGGATTTGTCACTCCGAATGTCGGAGAGGTATCTCTGGGCCCTCTCGGTAATGCACATCACATAAGCCTTGCAAGCATGCAACTAATGAGTTAGTTGCGAGATGATGTATTACGGAACGAGTAAAGAGACTTGCCGGTAACGAGATTGAACTAGGTATTGAGATACCGACGATCGAATCTCGGGCAAGTAACAGACCGATGATAAAGGGAACAACGTATGTTGTTATGCGGTCTGACCGATAAAGATCTTCGTAGAATATGTAGGAGCCAATATGAGCACCCAGGTTCCGCTATTGGTTATTGACCGGAGACGTGTCTCGGTCATGTCTACATTGTTCTCGAACCGTAGGGTCCGCACGCTTAAGGTTTCGATGACAGTTATATTATGAGTTTATGAGTTTTGATGTACCGAAGGAGTTCGGAGTCCCGGATGAGATCGAGGACATGACGAGGAGTCTCGAAATGGTCGAGACGTAAAGATCGATATATTGGACGACTATATTCGGACATCGGAAAGGTTTCGAGTGGTTCGGGTATTTTTCGGAGTACCGGAGAGTTACGGGAATTCGCCGGGAGAAGTATTGGGCCTTATTGGGCCATACGGGAAAGAGAGAGGGGCTGCCTAGGGCAGGCCCCCCCCCCCCAAGGCCTAGTCCGAATTGGACTAGGGGGAGGGGCTGCGCCCCCTCCTTCCTTCCCTTCTCCCTTCCCCTTCCTTGTCTCCTACTCCTACTACATGGAAGAACTCCTAGTTGGACTAGGAAAGGGGGAATCCTACTCCCGGTGGGAGTAGGACTCCCCTAGGGCGCGCCATAGAGAGGGCCGGCCCTCCCCTCCTCCACTCCTTTATATACGGGGGCAGGGTGCACCCCATGGACACACAAGTTGATCTTCATGATCGTTCCTTAGCCGTGTGCGGTGCCCCCCTCCACCATATTCCACCTCGATCATATTGTAGCAGTGCTTATGCGAAGCCCTGCGACGGTTGAACATCAAGATCGTCACCACGCCGTCGTGCTGACGGAACTCCTCCCCGAAGCTTTGCTGGATCGGAGCCCGGGGAGCGTCATCGAGCTGAACGTGTGCCAAGAACTCGGAGGTGCCGGAGTAACGGTGCTTGGATCGGTTGGACCGGGAAGACGTACGACTACTTCCTCTACGTTGCGTCAACGCTTCTGCTTCGGTCTACGAGGGTACGTAGACAACACTCTCCCCTCTCGTTGCTATGCATCACCATGATCTTGCGTGTGCGTAGGAATTTTTTTGAAATTACTACGTTTCCCAACATGGGACACACCTCCTTGGTCAAGTCGGTGCTTGCCTCCCAAGCCATCTACTTCATCACTACGCTCGTCGTCCCTCCAAGCACCCTCAAAAATCTCAAGAAGCTTGAGCGAGCGTTCCTTTGGGAAGGAACGGACAAGACCACCGGGGCCAAATGCAAGGTTAATTGGGACATCGTTTGCCGCCCAGTCGCCAATGGGGGTCTTGGAGTGCTAAACACGGAGAAATTTGCTAGGGCGCTTAGGCTTCGCTGGATTTGGTTTCAGTGGAAGGAGCCAACTAAGATGTGGGTTGGCATGGGCAACCCGTGCGATGATGCAGACTACAACTTCTTCTATGCCTCCTCAACTATTATCGTGGGCAATGGCGCGCGCACCCCCTTTTGGGACTCTCCATGGGTGCACAACCGCAAACCTATGGACATGGCCCCTCTCATCTACGCGGCATCGACGAGGAAGAATTGGAAGGTGCGGGAAGCGCTAAAGGATGGTGCTTGGGTTAAAAAGATCAACTTGTCGTCCAGTTTCACTATAGAGCACTTCAGGCAATTTCTCGAGCTTTGGGCCACCATCCGGGACTTCCACCTACAGGATGATATTGACGACAACATTGTTTGGAAGCATTCTACTAGTGGCCTCTACACGGCGGAGTCCGCCTACAAAGCACAATTTCTTGGCCTCATTCGTTCTCCCTTGGCGCATGCAGTGTGGAAAATCTGGGCTCCGCCCAAGGTCAAGTTCTTTGCTTGGCTGGCCATCCAAAATAGAGTCTGGACCGCGGATCGATTGGCCAAGCGCGGTTGGCCAAACTGTGGCTCGTGCCCCTTATGCATGCGTGCGCGTGAATCGGTTGACCATCTCTTCTTCAAATGCCGGTTCACCATCCGACTATGGGGCTTGATCAAGGCGTGGCTGCAGCTCATTCACGTAATACCTCCACTTGGCCCCTGAGACATTCCACCTTAGATTAGTGGCGTGGGTTGACCGATGCTTCCGTCCCCAACCGGAAGGCCATGGCCTCGCTCACCATGCTCACCACATGGACGATCTGGAACGAGCGAAACGCCCGCGTATTCCGCAACAAGGCTGCTCCGCCTATGATTCTCCTCGACAACATCAAAAGGGAGGCTTCGTTCTGGGTCGCCGCCGGAGCTAAAAAACTAGTGTCCATCATGCCGGGAGAGTGATTCTTCCCTGTATTGTTAAGGGGTGTTTGTAACACAAACTCTATTCTCTCTTAATTAATATACGTGGCAAATCTTTTGCCCGTTTTCAAAAAAAAAACTATTATGATTATTTTTGTTTGATTATGAATGTATGAATATTGTTGGGATCAAGAATGGATCCTAATTCTCTATTTTGTTTGATTAGAAATAGATTTTTTTTTGTGAACTCAATTGTGATCAAAATACAGATGTTGAATCCCATCCAACCTCGTGTTAATTAGCAGGACGAGGAGAAAATTTCTGTCAGCTTCAACACATTATATGCCGAAAAACGTAGAGCTTGTAGTGAGGCTAGAAGCATTGAACCCAAGCTAGAAGAACAGATTTACAAATCAAAATTTTACACGACAACATAAAAATGGAAAAATGGAAAAAACTTATAACCAAAGAGAAGTTTACAATTCTCTATTTCTAAATTGGTCCCTGGTATCACCAGGTTCCTGTGGTTTAATAACAAGAAAACGTTACGATGACGAACTTCATTTATTCGAAAAAATAAGAGATAAACTGACTTCGACCAGGAGCAACAGCTAAGCCGGCATAGAGGTAGAAGCAGTTTGTGCTTGAGGCACAGGGTAGCTATAATGCTTGGCCTCCAAGCTGTCCTGTTTCCACCACTGCTGGAGACCGTGCGGATCGTGGTCGAGACAGCTTTTCCACAGCTTCGCCGATGGCAGGAGTTGCGGCCGGTCCTTGTCCTTGTCAATCAGGTGCCAGAACCCGTCACGGAGAGAGAGTGCCGCGAACGTTGTGCCAACACGGTGGGAGCCTTCCATGAACTTCTGCCGCTGCTCGAAGTAGTCGATGAAGCCCTGGCAGATGGGGTCCTTCTTGTGCACGTACAGATTCGGCACCCAAGGGGAAAGCCGCTGGAACAAGTTGTCCATGCGCTCCCGATGGGAGCGCAAGACCTTTGCAGCACCCTCCCTTAAGATGTTACCCACCCGGTGCACGCTCTCCTTCGCCACCGGGTCCAGCTTCAGCAAGTTGATCGACGTTATAAATGAGACGTGCGGTGGATTGAAGAGGAAGGTCGGGAGGTTTGGCGGCTTCTCCTGCACCATCATGTACCGTCCCACGACCAGCGCCACAGCCGCTCCGAGAGAGTGCCCGGCGAGCCAGATGCAGCTGTCTTGGCCCTCCTCCATCATAAGTCCCTCGATCGTAGCGCACGCTTGCACGCAGCGCGTGCGTTTCTTCAGTTTGTTGATCACGATTGTCAAGTCAAGGTAGTAGTCTCGAATACTCCCCGGCTTTGTGCCCCTGAAGGCGACGACATACCGTGGAGCGCACCGGTCGCCGGGCGCGCTGGGGCTGTACTCGAAGATGGCACCGTAGATGGTGTCGAATACAACACCGACGATGGCGGAGTATATCGGCTCTCTGAGTTCTTTCTTTAGGTGGAAGCCAAAGCTTTCCCACCACGCCGGCGCCAGCTTAACCGCCATGCGCTCCGCTCTGTCGTTCTCGTGGACGTAAACGCCTTTGACGAGGCAGGCGGCGATGCGGCGGCGGTGCTCCTCCTTGGCCCTGTGATATATATAAAGGGAGGGAGAAATCAACCTAGGCATGCAGTGCCTCCCCTTTGGATTTCCATGAAAGAAATCACGCGGTTCACCTAAGAACAAGCTACTGCAGCAGAATTGAAAGGTTTTATTTTCAAGACAAACTAAGAGCAAACCCCCGGCGACCAAGCTACCACTTCTCAAGAGGAAGATCCCCCGGGAGAAACAAAAGTGGAGGAGAGACGACAGCGCCAACCACGTTCGAGATCATATATACAACGCTAAATAACTGGCGGCCACGTACATATAGGAGTACATACATACATACTCGAGAGAGACTCGTGGGTCGTGGCGCGAGCACCATACATAAATCGGGCTTGTGCATGTAGAGAACATACATACGTACGTACGTACCAGTCAATCTCGTCGAGGTCCATCAGATCCTTCGGCCCATGGAGGTCGAAGCGGTCGAGGTCGTCGGCGGAGTTTAAAAGCTTACCCATCGGCCAATACGATGCGCGCGCTTGATCGACCTAAGCTAGCTAGCTAGCTAGCTAAAGGTCTAGAGGTGGCAGCAGCAAGCCTTGCTATGATCGACACCACCGGAACTCGAGCTTCTTCTTTTCTTTCGGGCAGTAGCTAGTACTGAGCGCCAGTGGTTTTGCTTGGCTTAATTTGCAGCGAAAACCTGCTTACTTATAGAGTACTCCGTTTACAAGTAGCTGCAGCTGCTACTCATTTAATGATGGTTTCTCAGAACGAGTCCAATCTTTGTTCTTCGGAGGACTAAGGAAGAAGGTGCAGCATGACTGAACTCGTAACTGACGACCCAGTCGCTCACGTGCTCGTCTTTGGATAACCATGGGCCATGGGAATGTATGTAAGTGCGTACTCTTCGAATACACTTTGTGAAAATACTAGTTACCGAGACTGAGACGGACTTGAAATCAGAGAATGACTCGTTTGAAAAATTCCCAGCCAGGGTATAATGACCGAAAAGTCGTGAGAGATAGAAGTTTCTGAGTCACATTCGCATATGTGCATACATGGTATCTCTGTCTTCACACATTGTGGGAGAAAACTTAGAAATATACGAGACATGCCTTCGGTCCAAAGTTTTTGATCTCTGTGTTTGTGATATTTACATGTATGCAATGTGTAGTTGATCTGGGGTAAACAGCCAAGACGTTGTAGCAACTAGGTCCAAGGTTTGAAAATTTTCTTGTGCATAGGAGGGGACGGAAAAAAATTATATGAGAGCAGGTCTCACGGTTAGCAGGTGAGACCCGTCCTGATGGATGACACGTGGCATTTACAAATCACAAAACATCTAATCTTTCTCCTCCCCTGATTTTAAGTGGGGGTGGAGGTGTTTTGTGATTTATGAATGCCACGTGTCATCCATCAGGATGGGTCTCGCGTGAGACCTGGTCTCATAGAATTCTTTTCCGGAGGGGACCCCCTCAAAGGTGCTAGCCCGCCCAATCACACTGGGGTGCCATGGGATTTCTCTCTCTTTGCAACGTGGTGGTGGCCCCAGCCAGCGTGGCTACACGGGATCGTTGCCCGGGAGGCAGCCCTGGCGGATTGTTATGTGGTAATGCTCCTCACCGACACGATAGAAGACGATGGTGCGTCAAACAGTTCTGGGACTGACGATGACATTAGCCGAGTTCTGGGCTTGGCGGTCAAAATATGCATCTTAGCATGGATGAGGTGAGTGAAGTGGTAGATCCTTCATCCAGCGTCCCTCCCTTTTTCGGCCATGTTTTCTTTTTGAAACAAGGCAAAAGATTTGCCATTTCCATTAATTAAGAAGAGGATTTTGATACACACACGCCGCCAAGCGGCAAACACTAGACGTATTACTCTCGCGGCATTACATTACTCAAGTGCTTGGCACTCGCAATGGCCCAAAGCGACATTTCCTCTTTGATGTTTCGCAAGACGACCTCCACCGGTGCCGCCTTGTTTCTGAAAACGTGCGCATTTCTTTCCTTCCAGATTTCCCATCCCACAAGAAGTAATGCAGAAGACAAGGCTTTAACTGGATGAGCATTGGAAGTGAGGAGCTCATCCCACCAAGCTTTCACCGTGCCAAACCGGTGCCAGAGAGCCGTGGGGATATGCATACCGAGCCAGGCGAACACCTCATTCCAAATACGGATAGAGAACCTGCATCGGAAAAGGAGGTGAGCCGCTGATTCTTGTACTTGCTTGCACAGAGGGCAGCGGTCGCAGTTTGGCCATCCTCTGCGTTGAAGCCTGTCCACGGTCCAAATCCTGTTTTGATTGACAAGCCAGGCGAAGAATTTGCATTTGGGAGGGGCCCAAGCCTTCCAAACCGAAACCTGCAAGCTTGAACGATATAGTCCAGAGAACTGCGCCATATAAGCGGTCTTAGTAGAGTAGATTCCATCGTTGGCAAGCTTCCACATAATGGTATCCTTGACGCCCGGCTGGATGACAACACTTGCAAGCTTCTCCCATAGGGCCGTGAATTGCTGGAGGTGCACAAGCGTGAGGCCGCTTTGAGTGTCAATTTGAGTTATCCAGCTCCCATCCCTTAAGGCAGTAGCAACAGTGCAACCTTTTTTGCGTGATATCTCAAAAATCTTTGGGGCAATATCTTTTGGTCTGAGCCCCTCCAGCCAAGAAGAGGCCCAAAATTTTGCTTTATTTCCATCACCAACCGTCACCTTGGTCGCAGCCGCGAAGAGATCATGATCCTGTTTCATGCAAGGCGTGCCCAGCCCGTACCACGCCCTTGGCGGGTCGTCCCAGTCTAGCCACAACCACCTCAGCCGGAGAGCAGTTGCGAACTTTCCAAGGTGCAAAATGCCAAGACCTCCATACTCTTTCGGTTTGCACACCAGCTCCCAGCTGACTTTGCATTTTCCACCTGTCACTTTGTCCGTTCCAGCCCAAAGATAGGCCCGTCTCAGTTTGTCAATTGTCTTGAGAACCTCCACCGGAAGGTCCAGTGGTGTGATATGATAGATGGCCACTGCAGTAAGGACTGCCTTGACCAAAGTCATGCGACCCGAGATAGCCACATGCTTGCCTTTCCAAGGCACCAATTTGCCGGCTGCCTTGTCTTCCAAGAGTTGGAGATGAATCCTCTTTAGCCTTTTGATTGCGAGAGGGAGACCAAGGTAACGAATAGGGAAGTTGGAGCGACCTGCCGGGAAGGAATGAAGAATATCGTCGAGGTCCACACTACCGCATCTGATGGGGGCAACAATACTCTTTGCGCAATTAGTGGATAGACCGGTGGATTCACCGAAGGAAGCAAGCATGGTGGCCAGGAATTGGACATCCTCCTTAACAGGGGCACAAAAAACAGCAGCATCGTCGGCATAAAGAGAGGCACGAATCTCTGTGTGCCTCCCAGGAAGGGGTTGTAGCATCCCCTGAGCCGTGTCCTTGTTGACGATATGGTGCAGCGGGTCGATGGCAAGCACGAAGAGTAAAGGGGATAAAGGGTCACCCTGTCTGAGGCCCTGACCATGCTTGCTAGGATCTCCAGCAATACCATTGAGCAAGACTCGCGATGACGCCGAAGAAAGAAGCACCGAGACCCAGTCGTGGAAACGTGCAGGGAAGCCATGATGACTCAGCATCTCCAAAAGGTAATCCCATCTCACAGAGTCAAAAGCCTTCTTGATGTCAAGCTTGAAGAGAAGCATGGGCTTTTTTGTGTGTTAAAATTTTCTGGCCAAATTCCGCACGTATAAGAAATTGTCGTGTATGCTTCTTCTCTTGATGAACGCACTCTGTGCAATGGATACGATGTCATTCATGTGGGGAGCCAGCCTAGAAGCAAGGATCTTGGCAATGAGCTTTGCCACAGCATGGATCAGGCTAATTGGTCTAAAGTCCGAGATCTCTTTCGCACCATCCTTCTTAGGAACGAGGGCAATATTCGCAGAGTTGAGCCAGTGCAAGTTTCGGGCCTGGAGGGTGGAGAAGTTATTGATCACAAGCATGATGTCTTCCTTGATAAAGTCCCAGCAGGTCTTGAAGAATTTTCCGGTGAATCCATCCGGCCCCGGGGCTTTGTCACTAGGAAGGGCGAAGACCGCAGCCTTGACTTCATCCTCCGTAATAGCATCACCAAGCGCTGTGAGGTCATGGTCAGCACGGGGGATGGCAACCCAATTGATGGTCTTTGTATGCGGGGTACCCCTTTTCATAAGCTCAGTGAAATGAGAGTGGACGATACATTTTTTTGATCATGATCCGTCACCCAGCCATTGCCTTGCTTGAGGCGGTGTATAAGATTTTTCCTCCGCCGACCATTTTGTTGGGAAACGTAGTAATTTCAAAAAATTTCCTACGCACACGCAAGATCATGGTGATGCATAGCAACGAGGGGAGAGTGTGATCTACGTACCCTTGTAGACCGACAGCGGAAGCGTTATGACAATGCGGTTGATGTAGTCGTACGTCTTCACGGCCCGACCGATCAAGCACCGAAACTACGGCACCTCCGAGTTCTAGCACACGTTCAGCTCGATGACGATCCCGGACTCCGATCCAGCAAAGTGTTGGGGAAGAGTTTCGTCAGCACGACGGCGTGGTGACGATCTTGATGTACTATCGTCGCAGGGCTTCCCCTAAGCACCGCTACAATATTATCGAGGATTATCGTGGAAGGGGGCACCGCACACGGCTAAGAATATGATCATGTGGATTAACTTGTGTGTCTAGGGGTGCCCCCTGCCCCTGTATATAAAGGATCAAGGGGAGGAGGCCGGCCGGCCCCTATGGCGCGCCAAGGAGGAGTCCTCCTCCTAGTAGGAGTAGGACTCCTACTAGGAGGGGGAAAGAAGTGGGGAGGGAGAAGGAAAGGGGGGCGCCGCCCCCCCTCTCCTAGTCCAATTCGGACCAGGGGGGAGGAGGCGCGCGGCCCACCTTTGGCTGCCCCTCTCTCTCTCTCCACTAAGGCCCATATGGCCCATTACTTCTCCCGGGGGGTTCCGGTAACCCTCCGGCTCTCCGGTTTTCTCCGAAATCACCCGGAACACTTCCTGTGTCCGAATATAGCCGTCCAATATATCAATCTTTATGTCTTGACCATTTTGAGACTCCTCGTCATGTCCGTGATCACATCCGGGACTCCGAACTAACTTCGGTACATCAAAACTCATAAACTCATAATATAACTGTCATCGAAGCGTGCGGACCCTACGGGTTCGAGAACAATGTAGACATGACCGAGACACGTCTCCGGTCAATAACCAATAGCGGAACCTGGATGCTCATATTGGCTCCTACATATTCTACAAAGATCTTTATCGGTCAGGCCGCATAACAACATACGTTGTTCCCTTTGTCATCGGTATGTTACTTGCCCGAGATTCGATCATCGGTATCTCAATACCTAGTTCAATCTCGTTACCGGCAAGTCTCTTTACTCGTTTCGTAATACATCATCTTGCAACTAACTCATTAGTTGTAATGCTTGCAAGGCTTATGTGATGTGCATTACCGAGAGGGC